GGGCGGGCCCAGCAGGCCTCGGGGAGAGCGGGGAGCTTGCTGAAGGTGCAGGATTTGGCGCTGAGAGAACTGCTGCTGCTCCGGACCTGGGCGGAACAGGCCAAGGCCTTCCCGGAGGAAGCGCCGAGCGGTGGCACTGTGGAGCGGCGGCACCGAGGAGCAGGTCTCTGCCGCTGCCTGTAAGAAAACCGGGCCCAAGGGGAAAATACCGGGTGACCGTATGCATTGCAGATTGGTTTGGGGTTACTCCTCACGGTGGTGTCCTTGTCCCTGGGGAATCTCGTTCTGGTTTTCTCTGTGGCGCTCCTTCAGCTTCTCGGTGCCTTTTGAATTCTCGCCTTGGCCCGCAGAATGGTTGGGCAAGAGCTCGGGCCTTCCTTGGTTTGTGTCCTCTGCTAATATAACAAATACATTCCATTTCACCGTTTGGGTCATGAATTAAAAAAAAAAAAAAAACAAGGAGACCTGTAGCCAGGACCCATGCCACCTGTTTAGGTTTTTTTTAAAATACTAGCATTGAAGCACTGGTAATTATTCTGGTTATAGTTTTGTTTTTCCAGCCAGTTCACACCCACTCCACAGGAGTTCCATCAAAACCACATTTCTGTTACTTATATCGTGTTGAGATTTGTTTAAAGCTTTAAGATGCACGTCATCATCTACTGCTTCTCTCCTACCTACGAGGCTTGTAACCATGTTGTTGGAAGGAAATTGGATTGGTTTGACATGATTTGCTTTTGACAATTCCGTGAATAGTCCTTATTCATCTAAGTGGTATTATAGAAGTAATTCAGATCTTGGCAGTTTCAGGCCATTAGTTTTCAAAGATAAAATACAGCGTAGATAGTGTTCTTTGTTGGTAGCTCTTGTAATATGTGATGGATCAGAGGATTTCACATCAGTTTAAAGCGTTATTATAATAAACATTTCCTCTCTTTCACAGTGAGAGGAATTTTCACCGCTATTTTAAATGTTATTTTTTGACTTGTATTATTAAAAGTGCTAATCAAGTGTTTTGCTAAACCCCACCATTTTCAAAGGCTTATTCCGGTGCTCAGCTACCACACAAAAATTACAATGATAAAAATAAATTTTTTTTATATCCTTTAAGTGGTTCTCATTCAACCTCTCATTTTTGTTGTACTCACATGAGCATATTTTGCATAGCAAGCACAGACAGCTGAAGAGGTCAAATAGTTCCCCAATAATTTACCTTACTGCCAAGCCAAAACGCAAAAGAATACTGAAAACCAATGAGCCACCTTAATTTGAAACTATAACATAGATCTGCCTCAGGGGCCTTTTTCTCACTGCCTCAGGAAACCATATTACCTTTTGCCTTGCACGAAATTTGCATAATTGGTTTTCCTACCTTGAGCAGTTGGAGGCAGTGTTAAATTGGAAAGTACTGTGCATCTCACAGAAATGAAATTGCTACTGCAGGATCACTGGTAGGCATACAGTTTAGATACCCATCGCCGCAAAGGCTATACAAAGAAAAGAAAATGGTAAAAAAGTTCCATCTCTGGAACTATACTCTCTGGTTCTGAGAATAGCTCTAACACTGACTGGAACAACCCTCACAAATGTTTTTGTGGGTTTGGTTTTTTGTAAAGCTGATCTAGCACAAAATAAAATTGATTTTTAGAAAAGTGAGTTGAAGGAGTTTTCCATACCGTCACCTAAGAAAGAACAGTTCTCAGTATTTTTAGTTTTAATAATTTCTTTTAGCACTGCTTTGTTAATAGTAGGGGAGATAATATGGCAGTAGGTTGTACTGAATATGAATATGAAAAGTACAATTTGGCCATTAGAAAGGGATTAAATTTGCTCAGCAATAAAGCAGACATTTTCAAAATAGCTTAATTGTTAGTAGTGGAATACACTGCTTAGTTTGATTGAGTAGTATTTCACCATCTCTACTAATTGTGAAGACAGTTTTATGGATTATACACTTCTCATAGTTGCTTTTGGCTTCCTATTTAAATTTTAACATGTGAAAGTATTGGTCTAAGTTGTTTGCCCGACATGTCATTGCAGTCCACATACAGTGCTAAAATAGGAGTTTAAGAAAATGCAACCAAAAATTAACAAAGATTTTACTGTCAGACTTGAGTCTTTATGGAAACTACAGGCAATCTCTGCATCTCTCGGAGAACTCCACTCTGGACGTTTCAATAGTTCAACAAAATGAAAAATACAATATTTAATTTTAATGCAAATTGATAACGTTTTCCTTAAGTAAGTGTAAGAAAATGTTTGAAAGACGTTAAATTGCTATTCAACCTGAACACTAACATGATAAAAATAGATTTGATTTTTGTCTGAAATTAGATTGTTTCCTGTTTAAATGTATTCTTTCTCCATTCAAAATCAATTTAGGGTATCCAGGTATAGCTAGGAGAGATTTGTTGCCAAATGACTCCAAATTTTAAAAAATTAATTAACATTTGAAAAATGACTTGGTAGATAATTAGGTTGATTTGTGTGCAATAGGAAATAAGCAGCTAAAAAAAAAAAAAAGTATATTACCAAGACTGTAAGCTTTCAAGGCTGATGGAGCCCTGTGTTTCTATTCTCGTTTCTGGGTGTCTGCATAGTACCATATTAATAATATAGTAAGTTAAGGACACGCTGCAAACTCATACACATATGAGCCATCCATTTTGGTCAAAATTTGAGCTAGAAATTGTATTAAAGAAAGGTGAAAGAACTGTTCTTCATAACTAAGGAGTCATTTTTGCTTCATGACCAGGCCTGTACTGTGATCTTTGGCCACAGAGATATACCATAGCATACCAGGGCAAGTGTGTGTTGCATGGGTGTCACCGATTCTGGATTTTTCCCTGTCTGGTCAGCCAGCCTTGGCACATTTAAGATTAATAATGTTAAAATGTTGCTTTTTATCTTTTTTGTCCACATAGGGATGACTTCCTGGTTCATGAAGAAAGGAAGTCTAAGATAGTTAAGTTTTAGGGCAGTTATCAAAGCTCATGTGATGGCCAATGAGGCTGATGTTGTACGATTGAGAAATACAGATGAATATATTAAATTATGCTATAATCTTTCACATATTGTTACATAGTAATATAAGATATGGTGCCCTGAAAAAGAGTTATGGAAGTTGTGGCACTTCTGGAGAAGCCAGGAAAACTTCCACTAAGACTGCCTTTTAAAAGTTGGAGACTCTACTTCTCTCTGAGCCTCAGACTGCTGGAGCGCAAGGAGGACACCTGGGGTCATCACGTTCCCTTTTTTCCATGCTATCTTAACTGGAGGAGTTGTTTGCAAGTTTGAAAAAAAAAATGGTAATCCTCCGTGATTACTTGTGCTCTCACCCAACAACTACTGGTGCTCTGCCTGTGTTTCTGAGCCTCAGGCTTGTCAGCGTTACCTCCTGGCTCAGCCCATGCACCGTGTCTCAGGACGGCTGTCACCTCCTCGCTTTGGCAGCGCCAAGACCGAGCTAGAGTTGCTCTCGCGTCTCTTGCCAGACTGTCATTCTCCTGTGGGGCTGACAAACCAGACCAGGCTGCCAAAACACCTACCGGTGTGAGTTCTTTGCTTTATCTTTGCTATGCTCCTCATGTAAGTTAAAGCAACTTCCAGGTTGCTTTACTTAATGCTGAGACATACAACCTGGTCCTGCAGAAGCCAGCATTGGCTTGGCAGAGCTTGTGCACGTGGGCTCGGTGTCAGACCTGGGGGTAACAGGCTCCAGCCATATCAGTAAGGCACACCTCAAAAACATGTAATTAAGGAATTTCAGGCATGACAGAAGAAAACAACTGCAGGCATGTATGAGGAGAGTCTCACACTGCTGCCTCTCTGTCATTCATTAGAATTTCTCTTCTTACATCTTTTTCCTGCTAGGCTTAGAAACCAAGACCGACATCACTGATATCGAGGCACTTATGCCCACTTGTTGAAAAGTAAATTTGGCCCAAGATGCTGTAACAGATTCTGATTTCAAATATCCATACAAAACAAGTGAGGTTTACCTGTGTTTTCGTATAGAATATTACCTTGGTTAAGAAGCAGACTTTGTTGATTATGTATGGCAGTACTTGAAACTGCAACATCTTAACAAGCACAATGAAAAACCATAAGAAACAGTAATAAAGTATTAATTTTTATCATGTGTATTAATATTTTCAGTAAATATAAGACCACAAAAGTAGCTTCATCCTATGTGAATGCTTTGCCAAACCTTAAAGTGAGAAAGAAACAAAGTTGTCTCCTTCAGTTCCATTTTGCTGAATGAAGAAGAAGGTCTGGCAGAATTGAGCCCTATTTAGTTTGTATATTGCTTTTGTGTGGACATTTCAATCAGTGCAGTCCTTCACAGTCAAGAAGAGATGAAAATCTTATTTAAATGATCTAAATTCTTCTGCAGTCAGTCATCAAGTTCTTCAGGTTAATATTGCTTACTATAGTAACAGTCACATCACAGTGAAGATGCAGCTGATATTACAGCAATTTTTCCAGCCTTAAGCAAGTGGTGCAGAAAATGAAGAGATTTATTTTGTTGAATATGCCCTTCAGTAACAAAGCCACGTAATTTTTCTTAGGTACCTTATATACAAATATTTATTGGATGAATGGAATTAACTCCAATTAACAGTATTGCCATACTTAAAGAAAAGAGAAAAACAAAGGTTGTTGGGGTTTTTTTAAAGTATTTCTAATCTTTGCCATATATTTTACAATCATCGAAGGAAGACTGGCATTTTCTTTCTTATTTCCTTTCTTTTTTTTTTTTTTTTTTTTGGTAATGGAGATAAATTGCTATGATAAGAGTCCCAGGGGCATAGAGAGCCCTCTTGTATTAGACATTGTACAAATACAGAATAAAAAAGATGGTCACTGTCCTAAAAGCTTCAGTAAACCATTTGACACCACTGGTCTGAGTCATAATGGCATTCAGTCACAATTTCAGTTTCTGAAATAATTTTTAATTCTGCTCTTCAGTAATAAGCTTGTGCTTTACAGGAAGCATTTTTGTTAACATCAGAACCTTAAGCCTAAATAAGTTCTGTACAGCAAATTAATCTTATTTGACCAGTGAGGCTGACTGAGACATTAACGTCAACTTTTAGTGGTTTTGGTGTTTAATAATTATTTTTAAAATCTGATTCATGTTCCAGACCAGTTCAGTGGCCATTCAATACTTGTAACT